AAAGATTACCTCAAGTTTGAGGCCAGCCTGGGCTTCATAATGACTTCAAGGCCAGCCGGAACCACATAGATCTTGTTTCAAAAAGAAAAACAAAATTCTGAGTAACTCCTAACAACCAGAAAGCAACAAAGATTGAAATAATGAGGATTCTACAGAGGACATCAAAGCCCGGAGGAAATCAAAGACAATGAGTGCTAACTTTTGTGAAGGAATGTTAGAAATACGCTACACGCAGGGTTACAGGATGATGAGGAGGTCACTCACTACAAAACTATAACCAAAGCCTCAGGAATCAATGGGTCCATTCTCAGAAATAACTGGCAGCAAAGGCTTTAGTACCTCTGGGCTAAATTCTGAATTCTACTCTCTAAACAAAGGGCACCAGCTCCTGCAGAGAGCTCCCAGGTAAGATACCGAGACCCAGAGAAAAGTTGAGCAGACCTTAGTTCCAGAGGACCCCACTCCAACACCAAAAAAAGTATGGGAAAGGTAAAAAATGTATAATTATGAATGAAATTCACACATTTAACATTTCCTGGGTAATGTTCTATTTAGGGCCGGGAGCTCCAGTTTGCCTTTTTGGTCCTCTTTGAAAGGCCCTGGAGACAAACAACCTCTAGGAAATCTCAGAGCCTTATTTAGGGGCCTGGTCAGACCTTGATTTCAAAAGAAAAGTCTTTCAGAATAATGGATACACAAGGTACCTCACTACTCAACCTGGTCTTCTCTGGTAATAGGACGTAGATATCACCTGAAATAAAACCAGCAGAATCCTAGCTGAAGAAGGTTAGTATATTAAATTTACACGTGTGCATATGATTGGGTTTATTCCTAAGCCTGTACAGATTCATCATGAAGCTCATTTATAAATATATAAATATTTATATTATATTATAATTTATATTATATAAATAAAAGTTAAATATAATAAATATAAATATATAAAATAAATTATCCTTTTTTAAGCAATCTTTTGGAATAAATGATTTTATGTGTTTCACTTATAAATTCAAATTTCTAAATACTGGAGTTTCCCAAAGGAACACATACCAAAAAAGGGAAAAATTCATTTAATATCATAAACTATGATCAAAATAATTTAGCCTTTGTCTTAATCCCTAAGTTTTAACAGCACCATCTTATCCCTAAACAAGCATTATTTCCTAACAACTTATATCCCTGCCAGTGCCCCTAGCTTTCAATGGCTGATTTTATTTGGGAAATTTTAGTTAGGAAGATACCAGGACAATAAATGACTCTTCGGTATCTTCAGTTTCATTTTGGCCTTCCTACATTCACACCCCCAAGGTTCCAGATTCTTATCCACAAAGTGATTATGGTCTAAGACTGAATCAGATTTGTAACAAATGTCCACTGGGATCCTTCGACCTATCATTGATGAGCAGAGCCAATATATGTCTTCTAGCTCACTGAATCCTTTCACCTTACCTCAGGGACTTTCCACAGTGCTACATGGTTAGAAGCTTCTTTCATAAATGACAACAATAAATGAAAATTATTTTCAGAATGAAAAAATGAAAACTAAAGTCATTATATAATATCTAAAAGTTACCCTACAATCACCACCTTAGTGCCTAAATATCGTAACATTTGTACAATAAGGGAGATTCTTTTTTAATGTTTTAAGTCTCATCTCTAATTTTATCTGATTACTGACATGTACAAGCATACTAATACTCCAATATACCTCCCCTACACAATAAAGCATAAAACTTCTATCAGTGATGTGACAGTCTAGACTCTACTGATTTTTTTAATTTTCCAGAAAAATTAAACATAAAGCTAATAAAATGAAACTTCTAGTAAGTATAATTTCAACATTACCATATAAATTAATACTGATAGCTGTCATGTGGTCATTTATAAATAAAATATAGGTTCTTACTTTTTCCTAAAAGATAATTCACCAAGGCATTTTTCTCCTTTTTTGTAATTAGTCTTAAAATGTATTTTAAAAAAAATAAACATAGAAAATGTTTCCAAAGAGAGAGATGAAAAAATTACAAAATATGGTATTTTTATGTTGCAAGCTACCCAAAAATCTATCACAATTTATGTTACAATTCTAGTCATCAATAAGGTACTTTTTTTCAATGTGCCACTCAAAAATCAATTATATCAACTCTTTTGTATAAAGAAGCAGCATACCTTTCAGGCAACTAGTATTAATGAGTAGACATGACTATAGAATCTCCATCTGTTTCTCTGACAAAGCTGTGGCTACTCGAGTCTCTCATTGAAATTCCATTAATCTGGTGTACCAAGGTCCAATGTGAAAATCAAAACTCCATCTAACCCTTTATCAGCTCACAATAACCTACAAGTGAACTCTGCCTGTTAGCATGCAGCAAGTTATGATTTTGCTATCAATCAGGCAGTTGGCCAATAAAAAAAAAAGGCAGGTTGGAAACAGCATGTCTGGCAGGGTTTGGAGATTTTGTTTTTGTTTTCTGTTTTCATTCCCATTCAATTTCTATAGGGTGTCTGGACCTTGTGAGATTATGCATTATTCTTCTTGGTTGTGATTTAATTGCTACCAGCAATCAAGTCGAAGCATCACTGAAGTGTGCTTGAATTTCATTAGAAGATATAACTTATGCTACTTTCCTACAGTACCTAATAAACCATAAAGAAACCAAAACACATATGGCTTGAGGGAATAACTGGAAAATTAGGTGGCCATTTGGGAACTGAGTGAACTTTTGAACCAGAGAAACAGAGAAAAAGAAATATTAAAGGGAAAGACAGACTTAGAATGCACATAGAGACATGCAGGTTTGACCTTTTCAGTACCTTGAAAATTACATTATCATTATGAAAAATACATATCATGTTTAGAGTTTATAATCCATCAAAGTTCACATACTTTGTTAGTGCCTACCATAAGGTAAAAGTCAAAAGGACAAAACAACAATATGATTTGACAAAAGACCTTTGGGTGACCTGTGCTAAATTGGTTATACTTATTGTAAGTGCATTATCTTTTTTATAATTAATACATTATTAAACTGAGGTCACATAATGAAGGAAAACTTATTCAGGAAAGGAAAGCAAACACAGACAAAATTTAAATTGTAGGAAGAAAAGAATGATATGAAGAGATATATTTTACATTTAGAAATTAAAAAGTTCAAGTGGAGGCTTGAAAATTAACATATAATAATGTTCTTAGAAGAAAATGTAAAACTATTAAAATCACATTATTTATATCTCAAAAATGAATAACTGAAATTTTCAATCTACTTAAGTATTACTCAAATAGTCAAATATTTAAATGTTGATTTAAATAAAGTCCAGTCATGTATAAATGTCATTACATAGGATATCGATAAGCTAATCTAACAACAAAGTTTTTCATATTTTTGTGTTCCTGTATACTTGGTTATAAAAATATATGATGTTATCAGTAGAAAATTTTTAGCTCTCACAGAATGCAACTGTTGGATTTCTTTCTAGGTTGCAATTTTTTAAGAATGCACATAATACTTTCCTGTACATCAAAATATTTATTTTGAAACTCTGAATGTATCTATTCTATTGAGTACATTTTGTGTTTATTCTTGAGTAAAGTCTTCTCTATGTGTGTACATATATAAGTATATATACATACATACACATGACATCTCCCAACATTTTACAGAGAAGCAAAAAATAATGTGTCTGAAAAATAGTACAACTTAAATAATAATTCATTGTTGTGCCTGGAAATACTACTTGATCAATTATAAAATATTTTCTAGCAGAAATGCTTTTGAAGATGAGACTAGGAAGGGTAATGCTGTTTTGTATACTAAGTAGAATGAAGAGAAGTGTGTATCTTTGTAAAATAAAGGGAATAAAAATGGGAAAAAAAATTCCTGCCTTTAAAAGTAGAAATTAAATGTAAAAGTCAACATAAAATGGGTATGATTATTATTGCTACACATTGTACAAAGTTCTGGTTATAAAAAAAGATTGTTTTGTTCTGAATCAGTGGTTAGAATGTTTATCACTTATGCATGTACTTGACTTATCCCTGTTCTGCAATAGACATAATTTTATACCTCATAAAAGCAATTTATGTTTCCAAAGGGAATAATCTGGATAACATAAAATGTGGAGTGCTCTGTTGCAAGAAGCATATTTTCATTCAGCAATTGTATTTAGAGATGGAACTGCACAGTTTGATCATCATATAGTGGCAGAAAGCATTATTCATTTCTACCTTTACGTGAAACTTTGAGTGCCACAAATTAATATGCGTGGCTAATTTATCGATACACATTCTTAATTTATAACTATATATTACCCTTATAAGGGTTCTACAGTGTAGATGCACTCATTTGGCTGTAAGAGAGAAAGCACATGCTATACTAAGTTTCATAACTCCAACAACATTCAGTGGCTTTTAGAAATTAAGAGATAAACAACTTCATTACTAATTCGATTAATACAAAACGCTATAATATTACTGCATAACACAGTGCATTTTAAGTGCCAATCAGAAAAATGAAAATGTGTGTTAAAAGAAGCATTCGATAAAAAAAAAACCTGTCTCGATGTGAAAAGGCAATGCAGGAAAATAGTTTAATATTTTTTTAATATTTCATGAAATCATCTTGTGTAAGATTTTTACAAAAATAGATCAGAAACCATTTTAATTGTTTATAAAATAAATAATACAACAAACTATTAAACACAATAAAATTAAGCAAGAACTTGATAATATTAAATTAACCAACAAACTGTTACTAATAATATTCATACAATTTTGCAAGCACTGTCCTAAAAATCCTGGTAAAGAAAATTTCCTAGAAAAATAGCAAGTATATACTTAGGGAAACCTCAGCTAGAACCACTAGAGAGAGCTCTTCTGTTCCTTAAAAGGTGCTGGTAAAGGTAACTTATCCCAAGCCTCTGCCTTATGCTTTCAGATGAGACCTTCACCTGCCTTGTGTGAAAATGTCAAGAGGTATACACTATGGGAAAATGTCACATACCATCAGTGGGGGCGTCATCATCTTTATCATATCGTTCTGAGGCTAAGGAAATTGTATCAGGAGGCCCAGCAAAAGGGTCATCATATTCTTCCCCCTCTTCTGCATCACCTATAAAGAATCAGAAAAATGTATTTTATGATTTAACTATTTAAAATTATGTTACTTTGTTCAAAGAGTTAAGTTTTATTCTTAAACTCAGTCACTATCACAAGAAACAAAAAAAACTTTCTGAACTATGTAAAAGACATCCCATATTGGCTTATCTCCATTGTAATATACAAAGGATGATCAAAAGTATGAATATGAACTTTTAAAATTGCTATTAATACCCCAAAACTATAAAAATAGGAATATTAACTTAAAAATGCTATTAACATCCCTAACACTACTCTTCCTCGCTTTGAATGTACTTATCCCATCATTTTTGTGACTTTCTGGAGCAGTTCTGGAAGTCCTCCTTCATACCTTTATGAGGTATGATCAAAATAAAAATACAATGACCGCTGCTGCCAAATGCCACCCAACCGAAAGGCAGGCTTGTAAAAACATTACAGTGTGTCCTCATCCACTCTACCCACTGGATCTTCCCCCAAAGTCGAAATGACCATGAAAGGTTAAAGTTTTAAATTGTTTCAGGACATCAAGGCAGCTACAACAGCATAAGTAAAGACATTCACGAGAGAGAATTCCAAAGCAGCTTCAGAAAGTGGCAAGAAGGATGGGATACATGTGTTTGAAGCAAGGGGAAGTATTTTGATGGGGATTAATGGCAATGTGTCTTTTACTGTAATAATTTTTAAATTTTAAATACACACCACACTTTTATCACACCTTGTAATAGTTTCTAACGGTCAGGACACACCTGCTTATTGGTGACACAAAAGGATACAGTCACAACATTGTTATATTCTCTATAAGGAATTCCAAAAGCAGAAAGATAAAATAAAATTCAAAATAACCCCCAAAAATCAAAGGAACAATAATCAAAAGAGAAAGCAAACACAGCACAGAAAATAATTCAAGTAATCCTATTTATTCATTCAATAATTTGAAAAGTTATGGTCAGAAATCGATACTTTGAAGCCATATGAACACCTTTTATTTTCACTTTAAAAACACAGGATAGCATTAGAATAGATTAAAAATACTCAGTATGGGGCTGGGGATTTAGCTCAGCGGCATAAGCACCTGCCTTGCAAGCAGACAGTCGTGGGTTCGATCCCTGGTACCGATAAAAAGGAAAAAGACACAAAAAACAACAACAACAACAACAAAAAACTCAGTACATTTTTAGAACAGAAATCCTTTATAGAAAAAAACTGCTTGAAAACTTACAATCTTCAAAAAAATCCAAACATATCTGAAAGCACTTTTAAGTTTCATTTAGTAGCGTGCTACCATTTTTTAATGTTCTAGCCAGTTTCCTGCTTGACTTCCAAACCCTGGGTTGGCAGGTTTGGGATATAAAAAAAAAAATCTGTTTCCTTTAGATTATTTAGTCCCCATGAAAAAAATCTTTAGTTTGTTTTCTCCATACACTCAGCTGAAATAATTTTTTAAACACTGAATCAACTATTTGTCAGTCCCGTAATTTTCACAGGGATTCAACAATAAAAAGATAATGTACTATATCAAATATCTAACTTTTAACAACTGAAGAAAAACCAGCAGGCTCAGGAATTATGCAAAGGGAATGGCAAAAATCCTCACAGGAATCCTGGATGGAGTACCTACAACATTACCTTTGGGCCATGGTGTTTGGGTAGATCTAGATTAGAGCTACTAGTATTTTCATAATGATGTATAATCCTCTAACACCCATTTCTTGGAATTCATCCTGTTTTTTGGTATAATTTTGGTAGAGGAAATAGTTTCTGCAAACAGCACCATCAAAATAATTTAAAAGTTAAATATTCATTTCCTTATAATTTTGCTGTAGCATGCACAATCATCTTTGTCTTGAAAATACAGATAGTAACATCTGTCATGAAGGCAACAGAGTACAGAAATGGTTATCTTGTCATTCTTAGTGATTCTATCACTAGGTACACTAAACATGGTGATGTTTCTTCCCCAACTAAAATCTCAAAGAATATACATGTATACTACTCAGAGTTCAAGTCTTATCTTTTTTTTCTTTTGAGATGGCCAAAGTACTTTGCAGAACATTGAACGATTGCTTATAATATTTCTTCTATGAAAAGAAAACCCCTCTAATTTCAAAAATAAGGCAAAAGAAATCTCACAAAGAACCACTAAAAATATTTTAAATATGTCATTATAGAATGTGAAACATATAGTTGTTAAGATCACAAAATTCTGTTACTCTTACTTACTAGAATCTTTACATATGAATTTTTATGGTATGAATTTTCTAAGATTATCTGATATCACACATCAAAAATTAAATCTGATTTTTAAAAAGACATTAGGATATTTCAGAATTTAGCACTTATTCTGTTATGACTATAAAAATAGTAAAACCAAAGAATATACAGAAATTATTTTGAAAAAATTCTAGTGTGCAGGCTTAAATCTCTGAAATTCTACATGGAAATGGACAGATAAAATGTAAAAGTTTTAAAAACCTGAGGGATCTCATCTTCCTCAGATAACATCTATTATACATTTTTATGTGTACATATACACCATACACACAAATACACAGAACATTTATCTACATGTGACATGTATATTCTATATCCACACATATAGCAAAAGGATTATTAAAGTTATAAACTCAATAATAATATAGCCTTATTTATTTTACACAAATGGGTTTCTGACATAATGAAAAACATATGGGTCTTTGTTTTCTTTTTAAATACTTTTCAGAGCTAAGCATTTAGCTTGGTGGTAGAGTGCCGCCCTATAATGCATAAAACCCGGGGGTTAAATCCCCAACACTTTTCCAAAGAGTTTTTTTTTTCAGATTTTTATTAAAGTGAAAATGACAGTTGGGTATAGTGGGGCACACCTGTAATTCCAGCACTCTATGAAGCTGAGACAGGAGGATCACAAGCCCAAGCCTAACCTGGGCAACTAGGCAACTTAATAAGACCCTGTGTTGAAATAAAAAAAAAAATAAGAAAAGGGCAGGGAATACAGTCCAGCATGAAAGCCCTAGATTCACTCCCTAGTGTCACAAAAAGAAGGTGAGATTGTCTTCAATTTACCCATTCTAAGAACTGCAGTTAACTGAATTTTTTAAAAGTAGTATGATATTTACATTTTTACAATAAAAATAAATGCAGCTGACTTGACTTTTCCCCTACACACTGAAGGAATGTCCTTTGAGTCTACTCAGAAACTAAAGCATCAATATGGTATCTATACAGTGGTATTCCCTTCTTCTCCACTGCATTAAATGTAAAGAACACACTTTTCAGCAAGGTCTCTATGCTACAGTTGTTCCAGTGATGATCCATTCATTTTCCCCCTGCCTAATTTTGGTTTTCAATCCAACAAAGAATGAAAGCTCCTGCTTTATAGGGAGCTTTACTTGAACAGAGGGGTCGCTGTTGAGTAGTACAAAGCATTTTTCCTCCCCAGGGGCCAAGTATTTTTAGCTATACCTGCAAAGAATTCTATAAACTAAAAAGAAAATGCTCAACTTGTGTTTATACAATTAAAAAAACTGAACTCCAAATCAACAATGGGGCATCAGGTAAATGTATCCAATACAATTTACAGACATAATTGAAAGCATTACAGACTAATCAGACATCTAAAAGAAAAGCATGCTCAAATGAAATGTCTACAGAATCATTAGCTGCCAGCCATTCTATTACTATCACACATAATGTCAGTGGTGCCTTGAGCCTGTGCCAATGACAACAGCATAAATTTTGCATCTCATTTCTGTGGCCATAAAATTAATGATCAGTTTAAAAATACTTCTTTGTAAAAGTTATTGCGCAAAGAAAAGACATGAATGTGTCCCTGTTATGTACTCACAAGGGTAATTATGGGGTTGTTGCTCATTAATACTGTTTCTTGTTTCCCTAGAAAAGCATTTGATTTATCCCACAACTTTCAAAAGTTTAATTAATGATACAAAGTTAACCATCTAGAAGACAATGATCCAAAGCTTCCCTTCCTATAATTTTAGAGGCGACTTAAATACCACAGCAAAATCCAGATTTAATCATACCACAGCAGCGTATTTCTCAGATAACTATTGTAAAATTTATAATAGTTGTGTTCAGATGACTATTAGTCATTCTTTTTTTATATGGCTCATCATCAATTAACATTTTCCTAGATGCCTAGAGACATAGCCCAACAGCCACTAGGCTCACAAATTCCACTACCACCAAATGAGGTTTATCCAGTTTAGTGTTGTTTTCCATGTGTAGTTGTACTTTAAACACAGACAACATAAAACTAAATAATACACTTTAGTACTCCTTTTACAGTGATATATATCACTGTGCCTCATAAATATATATAATTTTTAAATGTTAATTTAAAAGAAAATAATATATAAAATATAATTTAGATGGCAGCCAATCCTTAAGGCATGAAGACAAACATGGGAGAAAAGAGAGAAATAAATTAATTTCTCATTCTTTAGTCAGTTTACTGGTTCATCCTAAGTTTTTAAGGAATAATATGCAGCTAAATAAGAATACAGGGCTGGAGATTTAGCTCAGTGGCTCAAGCGCTTGCCTGGTAAGCACAAGGTCATGAGTTCAATCCCTGTAACAACAACAACAAAAAAAATGCAGAATTAACTATTTCCATTTGAATTTCTTAAAGAAAATTTAATTATTAAGACTTCAAAGAATACAGGTCACCAAAAACTAAGAGGATTCTCCTCTTAATTTCTCTACAATAGGAAAGTTAATTTACATTTTGCAAATAATAAAGACAACTTTTTTTGTCATACTGAGCCCACGCTTTAAAATAAGCATACCATTTTTCATACAAACCTCTCCACTATAAGCCCTGTAATTCTAAACATGTTTACCACATCTGCACAAGGGCAAGGGTAGAAGAGGACAGTGTGAGGAAAAAACCCTGAGTTATTTGCTCAGATGTCATTGTGCAGCTTTCAACAAAAAATATACCATGTTAAGAACAGTAAAGGGAAAGAAATTAAACATCATCCAAGCTTCTGTTATTCTTAAGGGTTCCATCAGGACAAACAATAATTGATCCCTTCCTAATAGTCTTACTATTTTTTTAAAAGTGGTTTAGTCCGTTAATAAACTTAAGAATTACAAATTATAAAAGTAAAGTTGCTTTCTACTTAAATCTCTGCATATTTTATAATATCAATAGTCATAAGGGCAAAATCTATCCAATAATTTTTATAATTAATAGGAAAGAGATCTTTAAAGAATAAAATAACATTATCTGGAACATATAAAACAATATATTAACATTTTAAAAACCATAGATAGTAATCTTTTAAAAATTTGAAAAAGTTTCAAAATATTTGTCTCATTTACTACATATGCCCTTCTTTTAGTGACTTATAATTACCTAAATGTTATTTGAAAACTAAATTTATGGATCAGAATTAACTATTCCTGACAAATGAAGTTGAACTGGGGAATACGTATTAATTTGGTGCTTACTGAATACCTACTATAATCACACTGAAATCATCAGTAGAGTAAAATGAGGCTAAAATAAAGTAGAAACATTTTATGATGCCCTAAAACATTAGAAAACACTAAGCAATATTGAGTCAATAACAGTTCTTTGCTCAAATAGTAACATATATTAACTTATTAGAAATTACCAAATCTGAATTAAATCATTTTAAGAATTCTCTACCTTCCCCTCATTACAGTTTTTTTGTTTTTGTTTTTTGTTATTGTTGTTTGTTTTTGTTATGAGGAATCAAACTCAAGACCTCATGCTTGCCAGGAAGGCTCTGTGCCACTGAACTATCTCTGGCCATCCAATAATATTAAAATGGTATTCAACTGTTAATTTAATAAGAGTAAGTATGTAAAACAAATAATTTTAATAACAGTAAGTATGTAAAACAAATAGGGGAATAAGGACAAAATGAAGAAGTTCATTTACTTCATTGTGGCCTTACATTGACCAGAAACAGAAAGACTCTGCGTGTGTGTGTGTGTGTGTGTGTGTAAGAGAGACAGAGACAGAGTCAGAGACAGAGACAGAAACAGAGATAGCCAGAGAGTTAGAGATAGCCCTGCAAAAAAAAAAAGAGACAGGGAGGCCATAAAACACACAGAGAAGGAGACCAGAGAGATGAACAGCCAAAAGGAATTCTTTGCAGTTCTCCCAGGATGCAGACAATCCAAAGCCCCTACAGGAAAATACAGGGACAGTGGGGGCACCACCATCAAAACCTAGGTAGGACTGAATTTACTCAATGCAGAGATCTGATAAGAAATTCTTAATATTAAAAAGATGTATCTTGGATAATTACTTAGCAGTTATTAAGCCGGAACTCTTTACTATTCTCAACAAACTACAGAAAATAGTCTTTACAGAACAAAGCTGAATATACTCTGAGAGTACAATGGCATAAAATCACTTAGCTTCTTGTATTCCTCCAAGGTATATATCTAATTTATCCACAGGCTTACTTTTCAGCGGGCACTCTTGGTGATTAGTTAACTGAATATAGCAGTATTGAACTACAAATGAGTTATTTAGAGGAAAGTGATTATAGGGAATCTCTGAATTCTGTGTTATTTGAACTCTTATTTTAGGATCATTTTTTAATTTCTATCAAATACTTATATAAATTTTCATTCTCTTTGGAGACACAAGAATGCATCTCAGTAATGTAATTTTAATATCCACACACCTGAACAAGTTCTAAAGCAGAATTCCAAAGGGAAAGTTCCTACCCTATTACTAAACTATATGCAATTATACAATGCCTTTACGTTATTATACTTTCTTAGCTTAAAATTGTTTAGTGTACAAATAATTAAGCTACAATAAGAGTTCAATAAATAATCACTGGAATATGCCCTTTAGGAAGAGAGACAGATAAAATACTGCCCCATAAACAGTATACTGTATAAAAGTTGTCATAATTAAAATGCATGAATTCATTTTCATATGCAGCTAAGCAAAATGCAACAGGGTTAAGCTCGTAATTTAGGATTCACTGTAGGGCACAAAAAGTGGTTATATAGGAAAGAAGCTTCCTATTCTACTCTTTGTTTAATAGTGTTAAGAATCTTCATATAGAAAAAAATCTTTTCCATCCCCTTCAATCCCACTATTTTGCTAATTCCATGTGGAGGAAACTGTGACTTCCTTTTAACTGGTTTTAGGTTTCTCTGGTTAAGTACTTGGTTTACTGGAACTGTCATTATCCTCTCACTTATCAGTTAGCATAAATATGAATTACCCTGTGGGATCTGCTAATTCCAGTTACCACAAGCCACACTGTTTCTTCCCTAAAACTGAGAACCTAGCTCCATGTAAGATAACTGACCTCAGATTGTGACTCTCATACCAGCTTCCAAAAGCTGTAGGTCATGACCTAAGAATTAGCATCATGGAAATAAGGGCCATACCCAGTTTCCCTTAGGAACTAAAGACATGAAGTAGCAAGACTTAAAATGCCTTTCCTAATCTGGTTTCCAGCACGCTAAACAGCTATCTCTCATATTTAAAGGCAGACAGTTTACTAGCATTGTCATTGATTTCAAAAACAAAATAAAACTGAACTCCTATCCCTAAAACTCTCTAAGGCTCACATTTATTCAAAACAAAAGAGTCACTGAAATAATAACTAATGTTTTAGAAATATTTTATTCATGTTCTCCAACAAAATTTATACGGTTTTAAGGCATCCTTCAAACATGTGAGCTATAAGTGCTCAGTCACAAGCCCTTCTGCTCCTCCCTTTCTATAAAATAACCTTTGCAATGTTAAATAGCATTGGGTTGATATCTCATCACTGCTTAACCAAATTATTCTAAGTATAACTCAAGGATACCTGTCCTAACAAATTTCTGCCATAAAATACTCAAAGAAATGCAAAACCTAAGTGTCAAATTCATCACATTTCTGAATCAGAAAACTGCAAAATAAAATCTGGATATGTCTTTTAATTTTTTCTCAGCAGGGGGAGCTAGCACTCTCATCTTGAAGGTTTAAATACAAATATACAGCATAGAAATTTAAATTTTGGATCCAACTATCAAATTTCAAGATGTGTTAATTGAAAATCTTCACAGACAGAAAAAAAATTCAAGTTTGAAATTTACCTTTGTCTTGAAATTCCTGAAGATACCTGCAAAATAAAGAACATTATATTTTAAAGTGAGGTTGAAAATCAAAACAATGTCTAATTAATATCAATAATTAAAATCCAAAATTTATTTTATAAATACACATATAGAGAAGAAACTATTTCCTGTCCTAATAGCGACTTCAAAAGGCTTAAGAATTTATAATAAAATTATAAAGACCTATGTACAATAGTCAAATGAGGGTATATCTTCCATACCTATAATGTATATTGTATTTATTTAATAACAAAAGGACTCTCTTTTTCAGTGAGGCATTTTTAAAATTTACACAAAAATCCTCAATTAATCTACATCTTATTTAAACCAAATAGTTCCTCAGATAATAAAGTTGAATATTGTTAGAATATTTATAATACATAATTGAGAATCTTTATAAAAGTGTACTATGATAATCATGTCTGTGTTTAAAAATGTTTGTCCTTTAAAAATATATAACAGCATTAAATTAGAAAGTAAAAAATTTAACTCCATGATAATTCTGTATTATGATGTTAATCACAAAGTCACTTCTAAGTAAGAAGTAATGAAAAGCCAGAGACTTACATAGGCTTTACATCTTTTATCTTCTTAATAAGGGAGTCTCTCTTTTCCTTTGCTTTCTTGGATAAATTTTCCCCTTTCAGTGTATCTGTTACAAATGTTTCAACATCTAAACCATGAAATATAAGAAACAGGATACAAATTAGAAGAATCATTTTTTGTGAAGACAAATAGGACAATGATTGTTTCTTTACATAAGTACTAATGCCTATACAATTTGCAATAGTTGTTTATCAATTCAAAGCTAACAGTTGAAGTATGTTTCAAACACTAAGTTGCTCAAATCTGTTCACTGCTTATCTAATAAAATCTGCATGTTGTACTTATTTATGCTTAGCACAGCAGATACTATTTGGATGTTTGGCATCATTATACCAGGAAGAAGCTCACAAGTTTTAATAAACTATGGTACCCCATAAAACAAAATCTCATAGAGAAGCCAGCACCAAGCTTTTATGCATGTGACACTATCATTTTACAGTATTTTCTAACATCCTATATGAGCAAGTCCATTCATAATATTGTATCAATATACACTAATGTCTCTCACAAGGATCTGTTTTTCCTAGTGTAATACATTTAAGTATACATAATATTTAATGCTTTAAAAGAAAAAATAGAAGTCTTTTTCTTTTAGCCAAGATTCCCAAATCACGCCCTCCTTCTAGCTAACTGCCCATCCCACCCTGGGTAGTTCTGTGAGCTCTTGGTTCCTGCTCTGTTATTACCATCTGGAATACTTCTCACATGAAGGAAGCAGAAAAATAGATTCTTCCACTATTTACAAATACTGTATGTATGCAAATAATGAGATTTCTATAACTTCATATCTCCTTTCCCCATTGCCAATGTATTAAAATTTTAGTAAACTAAATTAGCCTATTGTCCAATTCTTTCTCATACAAAATTATAAGTCCTTGCTGGTTTGATTCCTGTAACAGTTCCATTCCCACTGTTCATGAAGTACTGTACAATTCAAATTAATTTTATTTTCAGAATTTCAAAACTCATTTTGAACTATCTAATAGAGAAGATGCCATACATGTTTTAAAGTAGTCATGGCTATAAATCATCCGTGTTTCATAGTGAAGAGATTCACGTATATTTTACTGTCTTTTTTTAACTACTCTTTCCTAATTCACACTGACAAAAAGATATTATCACAACATAATATTACATTTAGGTAATGCAAAGAAATGTAATAATCTCTCAATTATATTTAAATTAACTATTTAAACCTAATATATGAGATGGATATTTGTAATCAAGTTTAAATTCTTGATTACAAAAGTATTTTGATCCAATGAGGAAAGGTGATCAAACTGTGATATATTCATTATAAATGTGTAAAGATAATTTTTCCCCAAGTCAATGACAAATGAAAGAATCAAAATTAATTTGTAGTAATTTTCTAAAAGAGCTTCTGGTTTGAAGTCCATTAACAACTAATATGTTAAAAGCAAGTATCAAACTGAGATGCAAGCCAAGTATCCTAGCTTCTCTTTCCTTTTGAGTTACCTATATTTTGGAGACAGTACAGAGAGACATTATCCAGAACTAGTACAAATTAGACCCAGATTTCTCACGTGAGTTCAAAATAATGAAAGTTATGAAGAATACTGCACCCAGAGGAGCAAGCTAGCAACCTCTGGACATTCACACAGCTGAAATGGAAAAGATCATTCACCTTCCTGAAAATTCATACAGTAACTCTCCTAAAAAAAAAAAAAAAAAGAATAAGGGAAGGAATAGCAATCCTACTACTAATTATTTCTCACAAGGGGACTCAATACTTGGGAGGATCACTGGCTCAAAGACTGGTGAATAGTCTGCCTAATGTTATTTTCACTCAATGTTTGTCATTAATTCCCTCTTCCAGGAGTATTTAATTGCCTGTTTTACATTTTCATTATACAATCTAAGTTTAAACAAACAGGATCTATTTTCTAGCTCTGGAAGCAATAACAGAAAACAATTACAACCCAAGAGTTATTTCTTTAAAAAGTCATCTCAGTTGCATAAAATTTCAGAAAATTTAAAAGGCTGCTATACTCTATGATGCATTTTCCCAAAACTCTTCGATATATTTATAAAATTCCGACGAATGCTCCTGTTTATGACGAAATATTTGCTGAGCTTGGGACTGCAGGAAGAATCAGTGTATTTTAAGGAGAGGGAATCCTGAGATTAAGGAAAAAGATCTACACTTTAAGAGTAGTGTTTTTAATTTATTTCTTCTCAAACTTTTTTCAGAAAAGGGTTTATGGAAATTAAAAGAATTTAAGAAACATTGCCCTTTTTGTTAATTATTTCACAAAAGATATCTGGTCTGTAGGAACTGCTTTGCTGCCTACATATTTTTAACAAATAAGAATTTTAACTAGAAGCAGTTTCTGCCATAATCTTAATTATTGATTGTCCACTGACTTAGCTGCTTTGATGATTCTGAGATGTAGGCTTTTTTTAAATCTACACTTTGTATGTTAATTTTCAAATGAAATGAAACAGCTTCAATCTCCCTGGTGCAGCATGCGCCGCCGCGCCAGCCTGCGCCCCGGTGCCTGTGCGAACCACAGACCGCTCTGTTCCCCCGAAGCGCAAAGGCTGCACAAGCCGTGACGGGCTTTCCTGGGAGATGCCCCATCTCTGGCCACTAAAAAAACGAGATCCTCCGAGTGTTAAACCTCAGGTTCCTCTCTGAGGAGCGGGGAGCTGGGAGAGCTGAGTTTGGGGCAGCGCCAGACAAATGGGGCTGGATCTGCGGCTTTGTAACTCAAAGCCAGGGTAATATTTCAAAAGCCAGCAATAAAAGTCTTGGGTGAATCAAGTGCTCCTCTGGCTGGTTGGAAAAAGAGATTTGAAGCTTTTTATTGTGCTCTAAACAGCCCTGCAAACGGCAAAGTAGCTAGCGCGGTAAACTAGCAAAAACGCTGGCCCCTCTTCTACCTTTCTTTAGGGGTCGTCTTCCTCGGTTAGTATGTAGATTCACTGACTCCTGATTGCCTGTAATTTGGGAAAACAGTGTAATTTGTTTACAAGAAAGGATCAGCCTGCCTTGTTTCGGTTGCCCCTTGGCCTGGGGAGTTGCAATTCCTCTTTTTCTACGGGAGGGGTTCCATTCGCTAGAGCTAGAGCACAAGGACGTCTGCCTTGGGAAAGAATTCGGGAGCCCAGGAGAAGGTACCGGAAAGGGGGTGCCCCAAGGCACCAAGTCCAACTGTCCCTGCCCCGCGGCCACGGTCCGCAGGTCTGTGCTGTCTACATTTACCTCCAGAATTACCCCATCCCCATCAGCCTCCACCCACCAACTCATCATTAGGAAAAAAAGTTATTGTGGCAAAATTAAACGTGGTGGTGGTTTTTGCTGTTTTTACACCTTGAAGAGTAAGCCTTATCTCCAAGCACAGCTGTAAGGAATTGTGGGTGGAGGCCGCTGAAATGATCAGATTTATAACCTCTCTGTAGATAAGTGGCAAAGGTCCGAAAAAAAATTAAAAGATGAGATGCTCTGGCTCGGCAATCCTTGAGCAGTTTAAATTTGAAACCTCTCAATAGCTATCTCCACCCTTAAGAGGCAAATACTTAACATGATTCACTGAATGGTACTCCAAGGTTTTATTTTTTGTTTGTGTTTGTTGTACCTACAGACATTCCAGACAGTCTGGGCAGCCTGAAAAACCACTGCCCTGTCCTTCTCCAGAGTCCAGAGTGACTGGGACAAGCATCTAATGCGCGCACACACACACACACAGCCTGCTTTCTACTAACTTCCACATCATGTAGTGAAAATGTGGAACCACACAAGGCCAGAACAGTTTAAAAATTCTTGCCAAGAATAAAATAAACCACCAGCCTCTCTGAGTGAGTATCTAGCATGGGTTCTCCTCCTTAATGATCACTTCTCTTCACCATCCCCCACCACCAAACAGGTTGGGAGAAGACCTGGAAGCCTGAAGTTGTAAACAAGGCACAAGGGGGTAACACCCCTTGTCTTCTTCCTAGTCCCCAAATCATCCAATACCTGCCTCCCTGCCCATGCGCACAGCCTCTAGGATGGCCTGAATTACACAGAGGAAGGGGTGAGAACTGGGCTGAATTCACCCTCCATCAATAAAACCTCTCTCTCTCTCTCTCTCTCTCTCTCTCTCTCTCTCTCTCTCTCTCTCTCTTTGGGTTCTAGAATTGAACTCAAGACCTTGCACTTGCCAGGCAGGCGCTACACACTGAGCTATATCCCTAATCCCTTGTTTTATTTTATTTGCTTTGTATACACTGACCTATGCTGTCACTAAACTTAGTATAAGAATCCTAGCCCAGGCTTTAAGCCACTTAGAACAAAAAGACATTTCTCTGCTACAGCAGGGAATGGTCTGACCAAATAGCTACTGGTGAAAACATAAAAATCAATCAGAATAGGCACATGTAGATTAATGGAGTCAAATTCTCAAAGTTGGAAAATGGCTAATTGAAAAGTTATTGACTGTTCTGATAATGTCTTTCTCTTGATTACCTAGCCTTTTTATAGGTTATGGTACAACTGTGGACTTTTCAAACACTGACAGATACATGAGCAAACACAGTTCTTGCAGTGCAGTGGGTAAAGCATAGCTGAGTCTTAATAATTCAATCATCCCACAAAATTTTCAATATTGGCTTTGAAAGATTAAATGGTTTACTCTGATAGCTGGGCTGTTGAAAGATATGGCTGACCATCTTTCAACCTCTAAAAGACAACTCTTGATAAACAGAGCTTTGCAATAATCAAAATCTTTTTACCACACATTTTCAGAGATTTACACTACATTCACTGTTTGGCAGCATCTATCGTTATGTGTGCAGAATGTGATGGAAAAAGAAATGTTAACTCAAAGGAATGAAAAGGATAGACTTGGCTTTAATTGAAAAAGGCAAACTAGGTGAATAATGAGTATATAAAAGTAGCCTATCCCATTTTTATCACCCATATATGACACTTAACTTTAAATTTATGAGAGACAACGGAACTATGTTTCAAATCGCCAGAGGCTTTTCATATTCTGTTGTTTCTATCTTCTTTCTATCAATACTTTAATGCTGATATCAGCAGAGATAAACTAACTTGAAATTTGTTCATATATTGCTCACTTTTTAGTATATTTAGATTTTTCTTTGCAAAAGAAACAAAAGATAATTTTACACAAAATTGTAGAAAACAGTAAGAACCTTACTTAGTAACGAGAGATGAAAATATTTTCAGTTGAAAGTCATGCCAAAATCCCCCTCCCAACAGAAAACACATTACATGCTTAACATAAACAGGCTAATAATTTTCTAATTCACCTACACAGTACTATTTGACTATCTAACCTTACTATTTGACTGTATTGTTTGATACTATAACCTTCTGGTACCTTTATTTACAAGTTCGTATTTTTATTTCTAGAAGAGAAAATTGTTAGAGGTGTGATAGATTGATTTCATTTTGAGATTTTATGTTCTCATATCAACTCTATGCTCAATAGATATTGCTGCCAAAATGGGACAGGCTTGTTCTTGCTCTGTTGGAAAATCCAGGTGCTAAGGTGACTACTGGTGACTCAGTAGGTGGCACTCTTCCCTTTACATACTCAGCCAATGCCCCTGAAGAAAGGTAGGGTACACTATGGATACACCACCATAAATGATTCTCATAGGAAAAATAAAACCAAAATGTTGACCAAATTATAAATAGGGCTTTGAAAGGGTGGAAAGCAAATGATATCATGCAGTGCACCAGAAGATTTTGCCTCTATTTCAACTGAATTGCATTCTTTATCTAGTGTCCCTGAAGGGATTATCAATTATAATGTATGAAGGTTAAAAACAATGTTCTGGAAATCCCCAACAGAGGAAAAGGCAATATTTATAATCAAAATTATCATGTAAACAAAAGCTCAAGGTCACTGTGCAGAAACCATTTATCTGTTTTGCTTACTGTTTGGTTTGATTGTGACTTTTCAGTGCACTGACAACTGTTTTTTTTCTTTTAACATTGGTTTCATTTTCTAACTTATTAAAAAGAAGATAACCTCCCCTTGCAGCTTTCCTTTTAAAATTTGTTAACATGAAACAAAAGAACGAGAGTGGATGAGAATATCTGCTTATAAACTACTAACAAGCTATACCTGAAGGATGACTGCACAAATTAATTGGGGTTAGAGGGCAATGGTCCTAGTTCCTCACACTTTCTTGGCTGCCAGAAGGGAAAAACTCACATACATCAAGATTATTCTTGGTGGTAATACCAGTCAAAACACTTGGATATGTAAGAAAATTACATGAACAAAATCCTCTGATTTTAATTATTCAAGTGAAATCTATTCTTCTATTGTTACAGGGGGGAGAAACAAATCAAAGGTTGCCTGTAGTGCATATGGTGGCTCATAACTTGTTTTTAACAACAAAATTCTGTAAACTATTTTCTCTTTATGGAAACCAAAGATTAATTCAACACTCTTTATAAAATACAATCCTTCAAAATTTGATATACTGATTCTACAGAAACATTACCACTTTTCAAAGAAACCATTAAATATGAGCCTAAAAATGAAAACCTCAGAAAGCAAAAAAGACAAAGAAAAAGCATAAATATAAGAATATATTTGAGCACATATCCCCATCAAATGGTTAAATGTCAAATACTTAACACATATGACATATAATTATTTATATATTAGGTACATGAAATGTGGAGGAAAATGTCTCAGCAATATTATATTCTGAAAGCTATTATCTGCTGACTTTGTACTTTCTCTAAAAGCATAAGATTCTAAACTCTTGAAAGGCTTCATTCCTTGTCCTCTATCTTTGAATTCTAGCATCCTATCATGTATGCTAATAGCACTCAACTGTTTACAACCACTAGAATCAACATCTCCATCTTAGTTTTTAAAAATTGTACTAGGTAAGCAATGCCTCCAAAATTCAAATCAATAAAAACGCTTCATGTACAGTTTCAAAATTCTAAATCTAATTATGTACCATCACCCTACACTTGGGTTATGCAAATCATGATGTATTCCAAATATTCTTGGATGAAATATGTAAGATGGTACTGACAGCATCTATTCTTGAAGCCTTCTCATCCAAAAAGTTTTAAATACAGTTAAACACAACCTTTCTTGAATACATAGAAAAGTTTTAAACTCTGAGCAACACTGGTTCATTTGTTTCATTTCTTTAGATATGTATCTATCCCCTAACTCAGAAACAAACCTTTTGAAAACAACCTCTGAAAATAAAGTATAATCCAAATCTGTAAATCTCAAAAGTTTTAATGTTTTAGTATTTCTTTTTAATACCTCGTGTATTTATTATGTGATACACTTTAGTACGAAATACTGAAAATGTCAGTAACTTATGAAAACCTGATTTCAGATGTTATGCTTGCATGCTGTCTAACTTAAGAGAAATGGCAGAAATGTACAGAAAGTTAGCACTGGCAGATAATTTAAATATGTAATTCTGAGGTTTTGCTAAATTACACAGATAAGGACCACATAAAATAGTTATGATCTAATGGGAATCAGATGAAGGTCTCATAACCCACATATCTATCATACTGTCTGAGAATATGTGACTGTGAATCCACATAGTAAAGTGCCTATGGTGAGAGCTGTCAGTCTTTTAAAACATGCAAATAGAGATCTCTTCATTCTCCAAATTCAAAAATATACACAGTATAATCTTAAAACTGTGACATATTTCTGAAATAATGATAAATACCTCTGTGATCTTATTACAATGATTTTCTAAAGAAGTAAATCCAGCAGTTAAGAAACAAAAATGTTAACTTTGGTAAAACAAAATCAATGCTCATGTAAACTCTCAAATAAATAGAATACAAGCTCAGTTCTTTCAGTACTTCCCTTAGTGGTAATGACAAGCATTTCTTAGATTGAAATACTATCCACTGTCGCACAACAAATGCATTCATCACACTCTACCATGTTACAGGAGAGTACATTCAGAGTTTTATTTTCTCAATCTTATTCATGATGCTAACCACCAAAACAGCATACGAGTATATCTGGACATCTGTTCTCACACTACCAGAGGAGTAAGTTACTACATCAAATATGACATTTTAGATGACACTGTTTTTGACAGTTAAAACAAGCAACTTATATCTAAGAGAAGTTCTTTTAATCCACTCATGATTAATATTAAAAGATATTTTAGAAACAACTAAACTTCCAAAATCCTGGCATACCCAAGGCAAAGTGAATAATGCTAGGAATTTCCAAACATCAGGATATGCAAGATTTGTGGTACCCTAAAAAGATAATTTTCTGTCTTGTGCAGAACCATAAAGTTTTCATTGATCCTTAGTAAAAATAAACACCTTTGCATCTACACACTACTGAACTAACAGCGGGTTCATAACAGCACTGAAGAAGTACAAACTCCAAAAAAAAAAAAAAAAAAGCTTCCTATCACTGGGATGTAAAACTGAAAAGAGGAAGATGAGGGTGCAAAGATGAAGTGCTTTCTTCATGCACCACAGGAAGTAAGACTTTCAACACATCCTTCCTTTTTTGTTTTAATTACTAAGGCTGAAAACAACTGGGCATTTGAGAATCAGGCTTTCTTTCAAAGTCTTAAATATAAGTGTTCTGAAAGTTGAAGAAAAATGGGAGTTTTAGGTATGACACACCTGCGTCTCCGACTTCCATCTCTAATGGCCAGGCCATCCAAGAACTACTTTACTTTTGCTGCCTTCCCAGTTCCCACACATGCATTCGTGAACATCCTCTTTCCCCCACCCTCCATACACCGTCTTCAGGATGCCTACAGAACTGTCCGAGTTCTGTTAGTGTAGAAAATCGAGACGGATTCACAACTATCCCCTCACCGAAGTTTCACACACACGCCCACTCTCTTTTTTAGCCCCCAAACCGCCGCTCTCCTCCTTGTCCCGCCCCCTCCGGTCAGAAGACTAGGTGGGGCGCGCACAGTCAGGGTAAGGACGCAAAGCTTCTGTCCCCACCGGCTCGCCGTCCCCTCACCCCCGCCCAAGCAGCGTTACCCGCCCCCTTCCCGTTCTTTACCTGCCAACAGATTCCTAATTTCCTCGGGGAGGGAGTAGAGAGAGGAGGTAGTGCTGGGGCTGGGCATATCAGCACGGAGCGCAGGGAGAGGACCTGTACTGAAAGGGTGACCGACGGGGATTGTGGCTGTGACCTATACTCGGGCTAGCGGTCCAAGAAAGGACAGCAGGAATACGAGTCCGAACACTGCCAGGCCGGGACTCACAACAAGGAAGTCACTGAATCACCTCCAGCCAGTATCAGCTGGCCTTCCCTGGACGCCGGGAAAACGGGGCAGGGCGATAAGTGGGAGGAGGTGCCGAGGACCTGGGAGGGCTAACTGCGCATGCCTATCTCGGGTTTCTCAGCCTTCTAGGTCTCTGGTGAGCCACGCCCACCACACGTCAGGGGGGGGGCTATAGGAAAGGGGGCTGAGTCACCTGATGCGGCGCCTGAAGCGTCCTGTAGCCATCTTGAGTACTGGTAGCACGACAAACGCTGACCGTTTCTCCAGCAACTCCGGAAAAAGTGTATGTCCAGTGCCTAGAAGTTTTCTGACAAAGGAGCCTTCTAAAGGACAGTCCCACTGAAATGTAACACCTCGTCTGGTAATGCTGACGGAAAACTGACCGCCCTAAACGCTGGCCTTCTTTGTCCCAATGAATGAATGAAGGTAATGAAGTTCCAACTTCCTCCAGTCCTCTCTGAGACGCTGGGTGAGAACTGGTCCAAACAGTGTTCTGATTGGCGCTTACATTACTTTTCTACCCAATTCTATCCTGGGAGTTACTGATTTCCCCCCACTCTTAAGAAAAGAGGGTTCTAGGCCCTATGCTTTGGAGAAAGAGCGAGGAAGAAATACAAGGCTAAATAAACATTTTAGGCGCCACTAACCATCTACAAGCAAAGATAATAAATTGCTGGTAGTAATTAAGATCAAATTATAATGTCTGGTCATTCTAAATCTAAAAAGACGTGTTCTGGTTCCTTTAAAACGTGTGCTATTGCCTAGTGACGATAGATACTACATTCAAAATTAAACTGTAAAAATCATTCAGAACCTAGTATGCATTCTAGATTTTAAAAAATATTTCATGGATATCATATTTGTCGTCGAGGAAAATAAAGACACCGGAGCCACTAAAGAGTAAGAGAAGCACATAAAAGTCTTCAGATTGGAAGAGCAAGAACAAAGCATTTCAGAAGTGTTGACTGTGTGCTTATTTCTTTCGTAAAAATGAATAGAAACAAGGTACATCATTTTCAGAGCCACAGACTGAAGTCCACTTCTAGCCTTTACAAACATTTCCCTTGATAGAAACAGGAAATATTAGCTATTATCTTTCCTAGATGCTACTGTTGTACTTTGAACATTATATAAAGGCTCAGTAGAAATGTAAATTGTTTATTCCTCTACCCTGTAACCTCTAAATCAGTGGTCTTTATGCTTCGGTTTGCATTACAATTACAGAATCTATTAGATTGTGGATGCTAGCCCTAGACATTCAGTCTTTCAAAAACAATCCCTATAGTTGAATGCAAGATTCATTTTACTAGTACTTACTAGCTCCTACAGAGCACAAAATTTGTCATACTTTATGTTTTATCCCCAGCTGGAACCCTAAACCTAACATAGAGTAATGGCTCTATTAATATTTCATCAGCAGATTTCAGGTGCTAGTGATATAACTTGGAGCATGTGCTTCAGCCATGCAAGGCCTTGGGTCCAGTCCTCCTATACATGCACACACACATGTAGAAGCACACACATACATTTTTTTCAGATGCTACCAGTAAAAACTTAAGTACTCAAATACAGTGTGACATCTTTGTATAATTCTCTTAAGAGATAAAACCAAACACTGTGAAAGGCAAGTTAGTATACTTAGATATCCATATTTTACCTCACAAAATAAAAACTTTACAGTTGAAATAAAATACGCAAAATAACACTCCCAAAACAAATTCATTCCCCCAAATGCAATACAAAATTCATACTCAGAACTGTGATAAATTATAGAAAGAGTTCTGAAAACAAGAATTCGCTTTAGTGGAGTTAAAGAATTATAGTGATTTTACAAAAAAAGTTCTTCACACTTCAAAGAATTGAGAGCTATTATTCTCAAACTACAAAAACTATCTGCTTTCCTAGGTGAAGAAACTATTTCATGAATTTTTATATTAGTGAGGATTGTCTTTCCCTGTACAGTTAGTTATCACATATAACTTATCTGACTCATCATGTTTTTTATTAAACCAGACCTCCAAATGTGCCAGTCCTTTGTTGCCTTCTGTTATAAATGGCCACTTTTTAATTCTTGTCTCACTTATTTATTATACTGCCTTCATTGGTCAAAAGAAGTGAGATAATTTATTCTATCAAATAGCTTTCTGGGGTGGATCAAATAGTGTCTACACTTCTCATTATGATAAGTCATTCTTGTTAGTAAAAAACAGGAAACTGTTACAGTTGCCTTAAAATACATACTGTCTAGTAGTCCAAATAAAAAAAGGCAGTAACAGAAAATGGGCTTTTTATATGAAACACACTTCCCCTATTTAGGAAACCATTCTCAGACTTAGGTTCATGATGGGTTCACTTGAGCAATGTGTTTGTATACTCTATCGTTTTACTGTTTATTGTTAAAGTCACTGAAATTGTAAGAGAGAGAAAGGCTAAAAAGGATTTTTCATTTCTTTTCATTTCAAATGCTTCCAGGACAAAAACTAAGAAGGAAATCAAGTCATACTTTACATTATTTAATTGGTCACATTAGGTTAAAAAAATAGTAAGTGTAACTTGAAATATAAACAGACAGGTAGTGGCCTCCCTGTCATTCCGCAAAAAGAGAAACTAGATTTCAAGAAATTTTCTTGTTTTCTCAAAAGTAGATTTTCCAGTTCAAGTGCATTGGTATCTTTACAATTAAACTCCTTCCTATAACCTTCAAAATAGTTTAGAGCACTGAAAGAGTATTTGCCCACAGGACTAGTTTTTAAAAAATTTGGACAAGTATTGAAGAAAAGTATGCATTGTGGGCCAGAACACAATTAACAGTATTCTCTCCCTTCATTTTTGCTTAGTTTTCTTTTATTTGCTTAGTTTTCATAGGCATATGAAAGACAGATTATACTTAAATGTAGTAGTAGTTATATATCGCTGTATAACAAAATTTAGCAGTTTAAAACAAACCACTTAGTATGTCACACAGATCTGGCGAAGAGGCTCCCCTGAAGCTGTCAAGAGAAAGGTCATCTATAGACCTGATCATGGCCAGAAGTTCTAACTCGAAGATAGCTCGCCTTCAGAACAGAAGAACTTTATTCCTCTTCAGCTGTTTGAAAAGGGCTTCTTCAGTTCTTGGAAATGTGAACTTCTCTATAGGGCTGCATGAATGTCCTCATTACATAACAACTGACTTTTCTAGAGCAACTGACCCAAGAGAGAGCAACCAAGACAAGACTTGTAAATAAAGAATAGGTTAAATAAAAGATACAATTGATACTGCTTTTACTTTGCATTAAAAAAAATTAAACCTGCTATCTTTCAAGTCATCTAGTAATGCCTCCTTGAGAGTTTTTAGAAGAGTTGTCTTATTTTCTAAATTTTTCTCTTTAATTTGAATTTTCTAGAGCTAATAAGTGTAAGTTTATCATTGTGTGGCAGTTACCAGGAAAAATTTATTTTCACTGGAATTTATTGATATGAAATCATTACCCTTAAAAGTAAACGCAGTCAGAACCAAAAGGTTCTCATAAATGAAGCTGAAGTTTTAGGGTTTTTTTTTTCTTTTCCTATGAGACCAGGTGCTAAACTTAGAATTTTACACATGCTAGGCAAGTACTCTACCACTAAACTACATCCTCAGCATAGATTATAATTATTAATTTTATTAGCATAATTTATTAAATTAGCAAGATAAATACATTCCTTCTTGCTCTCCCTCTCATTTGCATATACAAAACTATACTCAGGCCCTTTGATGTCCTGGCCAGTCATTGTAATATAAGAAAACTAATTTAACATATAGAGATTTGAGTTATTAACAAGATATATGTCTCTAAGATTCTACAAATTAGGATTAAGGTGAGAGAACTGTTCATCCCAATTTGGACCTAACAATGAGTGTGCACTTACTCTCTTTTTCCTTTAGCTGAATTGAGTTACCTTTTCAGATTCCCAATACTCAGTGGCCTTACCACGCAAACAGTTCTGCCACTGAACTATACCCCAAGCCCTACACTTAAGGTCAGCTTTGATGATATTGGGCTTTCATCTTTTATCCTGTTTCAAAGTGACTGAAATTCTGCTTGGCCTCCAGGACCAAGTCCTTACCTTGCCTATTTTTAATAAAGAGACATACGTATCTTGATGGCATCTAACCCTCTTGAGTACAGCTCTGCCACATTCTTACTATACCAATTTATAACCTTATGTTATATTCTGTGTGGATCTCCAGAGAATAAAAGAACCCAAATCCCTGTCTTATTCCTGTGACTCCAAGCTTAGTCCCTGGAGTGTATGTTCACTAGGAACATGATAAGAAATGATTGTGCTTCATTACAATCTAATGTTTACATCAAAGCCCCTCTTCTCCCTGGATACTATTTACATCTCCATAGTTTGGTGAAGTTACCCAAAAAGTAAAGAATTTTTAATTTTTGCCTTTAATTAGTTTTATCAGAATCATATTTTCTACCTCAGACACACAATTGAAGGACTTTGAAAATTCCATTTTATTGCTGGTTTATAACAGAGAGAGTTATCCTTTAGCTTATGTAAGGAATAACATGCAAATTTAGTCTCCGAAGCTTGACTCTGACCTGTACACGCCCAAATCCCAACAATCACACTCAGAAGGTAAGTGGGTAACTCTCTCTTGCACTTGGTTTATGTTGATTTATTTTCTAATACCTGCATTAAACACTCTGGAGCTTTGGATAATTCAGACATTATTTTAGAATCTATATGTCCCAAGAGAAGGTAGGCTGCATGGGCTTTCAAAAAAAGAAATTGAGTTCTAAAAGTGTAAAGCAGGCAGGGTGTTCTTGGATGTATATAAGGCAGTATTCACTGCTCTCTGTGATGATAACTCTGGTCCCTACAACATCCACCAACATTTAATAAAAAGATAGTCTTCTAGAAAAATGTAACTGAAATGCAGCTGCTTTATTAAACTTTGGAGGACTCAGATTTTGCCTTTTTATATGCTCAGTTTGATCAATATGCACTATTTACTGAATTATTTTTGTTATAGGAATGTTGTTTTTGTTGGTTAT